TAAGAAGTTTTTCACAAGCATGTTTTTATTCACACTTTTCATAAGAAGTTTTTCACAAGCATGTTCTTTATTCACACTTTTCATAAGAAGTTTTCAGAAGCATGTTCTTTGTTCACATTTTTCATAAGAAGTTTTTCACAAGCATGTTCTTTATTCACACTTTTCATAAGAAGTTTTTCAGAAGAATGTTCTTTGTTCACATTTTTCATAAGAAGTTTTTCATATATGTTCCCTGTTAACCATTAATGAAAATTCTTGCAGCATTATTAGTTTTTTTTTACTGCTTCTGCGCGTGTAGTTGACGTCATTATTTTCAGACGATGTTAAGCTATTTACATATGTTATTTCTCCTCAGATAGTAAACCTTTATTAGAAAAGTTGGTTTCTGTCATTAAAAGGTTTTACTTTACTTATTTAATAAATGCAATGGTGTCTCGAACACTTAGTTTTCTGCGTGTTTTTTTGTCTTCTAAATTTGCCATTTTTTATTTTTTACAGGAGTTATTGTGTCGATAAAGGTGGGAAAATAATTAAAAACACTACTGTTCCCCGGTACTCTGAGGAAGCTCGGAAAATGAATTGTAGTAAGTAACATTGATTTTGTGTGATTCTTGATAGATAGTTTTTCGCGTAAATCTTCCACCTACTCCCACTGTCAGTTTGTAACTGATATTACTCACCAAGAAATCTATTATTCTTCAAATTTCCCTACATTTGCCATTTTCGAATAAGTAATGAATATTAAAACAAGTGTCCAATTTCTATTTTTATTTTATTTTTCTAAAAAGAAAGTTTGTACTCGTACAATCGTTCATGTTAAACGCTTAGCTGCTAAAGAGTTAGGCTAAAGTATAAACGCGTGACTGCTAACGAGTTAGGCTAAAGTATTGTTACGTCTCCGTTTGTTAACTGATTTCCCGTAAATTCGTTCCGACGAAACTTTAGCGACACAAGTCCTTACTTAATAAAACTGGTTTATTCTTTTAGAATATAACTTTACGATACACTTAATTTCAACAATCGCGCTAAAACAAACGCTATAACAACGGACGAGCTCAACTTCAATAATACTCTCTGACTGCAGATCAATTACTCACTGTCTACACACACATTATTCTCGTCACGTTGTGACCATCTTATATATACCAGCTATCCTATATCTAGTAATCTCCCGACAATTCACGAAGGTACAAGATATTTCCAGAAAGCAGGGGGTGTGACACTAGTGAAGACGACAAACAACTTCAGAAAAATATGTTTAATTACTTGTATCCGACGTTTCGGCTTACGCCTTTATCAAGGGTCTATGAACGTTACAGGATACCAAACCGGTTGATTTTGAATGACAGTAACCGAAAACGAAATACAGCTACAACAATATAACGGAAAAGTGTACGTGATACGAGTATAGCCGAACAGTTTTGAGTCGTTGATCATAAAAAATGGATAAAATGTTAAAGGGGCCAGGTATTGTGTCATGTTAAACTTATATTAAAGTTTTTCTTCATTACCCATTTAAGCCGTCTCCAGCCATTATTATTCCTTATATTTGCTGTCGCGAAAATTGTCACAAGTTTCTAAAATTTTGATTGACGGTAATGAATGTTTCAGTATTCTGATTATTGAATGTTAATTTAAATATTAAACCTTTTCCGTTAAACCTTGTGTACTTCCTTACTGTAAAATGTGTAACTTGTAATAAAATAATACTTCTAATCAGTAAATATATTAAAAACGGATCTATTGGTCCGTAACATTGTTTTGATAAGCCTGCGCCTCTTGAAACTTCCGATACACAATATAGTCCGTAACATGGTACGCTTATGATTTAGAATTTCTTCTGTAACAACAGCAAATCAAAACTGTACCTTCATTAACTTAATTATTTGTTATTTCTTTAGACTGTGTGAGGATGAAATTACTGCTGAAGAACAACAGTAAAATGAGTGGCCTCCAGACTATATTCTCCAAATATCGCTGCGACAAGAACGGGAACTATTTACCAATGCAGTGTATGTCACTTGCATGTTATTGCGTCGATACCAAAATGGGTTTCCAGAAGGGGACGGCCGTGTTAACAGTAAATAAAAATGACTTGCCGTGTTGGAAACCTGAATATGATACGTAAATCTTTGGAATAACTGCAGGAACAGCTGTCTGTTTTTGTAATTACTAGTTTTAAAAAAAATTATGCATATAATTTAAGTGAATCCTTCTATCAAAAACAAACTTTAAACTGAGAGGTTCCATTAATGAAGAATCTTTCTGAACACATGATGAAGATGAAAACTAAAATCAAACGAAACATTAAAATTAAAATCTAGTATTTTTCACAAATAAAATATATTGATTTATATTAACAAAGAAATTCGTAAGATTTCTGACCCCTTTTTCTAGTAATTGTAGATACAAAGTTCTTAAGGTGAATTTATTATTATTTTATTATTATTATTAAATATTATTAATAATTTATTATTACAGGTTTTAAAAATAAGAATCGGTAATTTCCTCGTGGGTTTAATTAAAATATATTTACTTTTTTTACATACGCACAGTGCAGTTTATTAATTAATATAAAATCTTGCAACAAAAACAACAACACAAAACAAACATATTAAAACTTCATACCAATCGCTTTCTGCATTTTTTTTTAACTGAAATATTTTGTGTAAGTTTTAAGGTCCAATTGAGTATTATGTTGTTGTAAAAAGGTACACTGGTTTGGTATTAACTTTCTACAATTTATTGTCGATAACAAAAGGTTTGTACGTTTTTAATTATTAAGTCAAAATAATGATTCTCCATGTTTTGTTTGTTTGTTTTTGAATTTCGCGCAAAGTTACACGAGGGCTATCTGCGCTAGCCGTCTCTAATTTAGCAGAGTAAGACTATAGAGAAGGCAGCTAGTCATCACCACGGCTGAAAGGGCGAGCATGTTTGGTGTGACGGGGGATTCGAACCCGCGACCCGCTGATTGCGATTCGAGCACCCTAACCACCTGGCCATGCTGGGTCCTCTCTGTTTTAAAAAAAGTTTCAATCTTTCATATCCTCGTTTGAGTCCATTTATTTCATCATAGAATACCTTTGAATAGTATCCAATAAAAACACATCAAAATAATTACCATTTCATGAACTGTTAATCATTTATCTTTTTGTTTGAATCTTCTTTCCAAATTAAAATTTTATATTATATTTATTACGTAATTCCGCGAGGCAGGTTAATATATATATACACCTTTCTAATGGTAACAGCAGATCTTACAAATACCAGCGTCAAAACGTTTTAATAGCTAATTACTATCGATATGAACCTGGTGGTTAGGTTGCTCGGCTCGCAATCTGTGGGTTCGAATCTAATCACCGAGCGTGCTTGCCCTTTCAGCCGTGGATGCGTTATAATGTGACGATCAATCTCACTTGTCGTCAGTAAAAGAGTATCCCAAGATATGGTGGTAGATGGTGTTGACTGGCTTCCTTCCTTCTACTCTATCACTTCTAAATTAGAGACGGTTACAATACTCGGCTTTGCATTTTATTCCAGGCAATTCATAGCCTATAACAGAAAAAAACGTTGTTTTTTTTACAAACAAACATTGAACATTAGGTCTTTTCTATCTGAACGACACATTACGCCCACATGAGCTGAAGACTTCAAGGGTTCAGGTGTAGTCATGACTAATTTATGAACTACTGAACGAGGGCTTTGAACCTAATAACACGACTGACTGGCATTCTTATAACGCAATCACATCTTAGCAACATCGCTAACTTTGAACTTTCTGAACCGCAGCCCGGCACACTTGGCCCTTCTCAAATTTTTTTAAATATATATTTCTCAATAACAAAAGTTCATGATATACAGTTACTAGTTCCTTGCTTGTTCAATTACGAGCTCACGAGATGTTAATAATTTTTTCGTCATTAATTACATAATTAAATAATAAGTTTCTAAAATAGTATTTCATGGGAAGTACAAATTAATCATTTTTAGTTCCATACTTTATTTGAATAAAAATTTCCAAACATCCCCACAAGATCTTACACCTTGGGAGTCTGTTTGTTTATTTATTTTAGAGGCAAGCCATATTTGAATATCTGATGCGTCCACCGCAAAGATTCGAACTCCGAATTTTAGCGTTGTAAGTCCGTAGACATACTAGTAACCCACCGAGGGACCTTTAGGGGACAAAATCAAGTTTTGAGCAGCTCTTACAGGGGTTAATCGTATCGTGATATTTAAGGCTAAAAATTCGTTAATAAACGAACATACCCAACTAATGGACCAATGTACTCTTATATTTGTAGGTTTCAGTTTTCTTCTGAACTGATTAATTTATTTTATATTCAGTTAGTTGTACATTACCTACGAGCTATCAACTTAATTATGATCAGAAATTACTGTTAACTATTTTTCTCTCAGGTCATCCTAAAACTACTGATGTAACTTTTTTTTTTCCATATAAAACAATGTTTTTATGCACCTCCCAATTTATCTACCAAACTCAATACATATTAATAAAGCAAATTCTTAAAATTTTCTTCCCAAGCATGAACATTCAATAATAAACATCAGTTTTGGAACTATTTTATTTGAATACTTTTTTGTCACGTGTGCTATTTTTTAACATCATACTTTTTAAGTAACGTCAACTTTTTCAAGAGAGTACACTACAACGTTTAAAAGTAATACAATTGTCAGCTTTCTCCAAAGTTATACATTCATTATCAATGAAAATCTCTTGTATTTTATACAATGATTGAAAAAAAAATTAACACTGGCAATTATACTCAAACTACTAATTAAAAAGGAAATTGTTATATAACAAAATAAAAATACAAACACAAGAAGTTAAATAAAATTTTTTTATGCGAAGACAGAAACATCGTCTGCTTACAAACCATCAGCTTTAGATTCGCATACAACACTAGCACTTAAAAAAGAAGAAGAATAAAAACTTTAAAGGTGAAAAGTTAAACACCCAATCGGCGAAGGTTGTTACATAGTTATTCTAGGAAAGAGCAAACCCTATCGTAAGCTGTATGCGTCGATAAATACGTTTTTAAAATGTATAAAAATAACACAAACTTTTTTAACCGCATCTGATAACATTTATAATGCAAATCTGGCACAATATAGAAAAATTTATATTTTAACATATGCTAGGTTAGTCTTAAGTCTAGAGCTTTAAATTTGTGGGTGTAGTAAATATAGGAAATGCGTTCTAAGAAAAAAATAAATTAAAACGAAAACTGTAATACCTACCACTAAAGTTTTTCTAACATTAAAATCAACACACACACACACAAACCCTTTTATTCGAGTTCCAATGATTACTTTAATACGTTGTTTGAAATAAACAGTTAGCATCTGAAATGTTATGAAAACAGAATATTTTTAATGGGCCATCTACTTCAAGGAACAATGAGAGGCTTGATGCATTCGTGTGAATCTTTACCAGAAGCGTGAACCTTTATAACTGTTATTTATAAAAAGACTGCGCCTGTTACAATTACCTAAGCCTAATTAGATCATATCCTACGTTTCGATCGTGAATCTGCTACAGTGTTCAGAGGACTACTTCTGTGATAGGTAGCGAACTGGATCCTTTTTGTTAAAAAAGACTGGTGTGCTAGAACACTTTAAAAGAAGACCCAGGATCGAGTCACGGCCCTCATCACAACAAACAGTCCTTCTGAGGATTTCTCTGAAAATGCATTAGATTAACATTCGAAAAGTATAATATAATTTAATTAGTATCTAGTAATACAAAACATTTAGTAACTAATGAATTATATGAATCATGTGATTTAGTAACCATGACAGCGATCGATATCTGATCACCACAACATCAACGTAATTTCTTTTAGAGTATGTTTCTACCTTTATTGTTGTAAGATATTGGTCCTCTCCAACGTGGATGTGTCCTGAAGGTTCGAGAAGTGAAATTGCAATATATATAAATAAAATTAATCATCAAGAAGCCTGAAAATAATGATGCACTGTTGGCTCCCATAAAAAAATAAATCAAAAACGAATATTTTTAGACAGTTGACAGCTAAACAGCGGTTTAAAAGTAAGGTGGTCCACACTTAAAATCTCTTCCGTGAGGATTAAATTCGATTTGCAACACCCTAAACTCTTTGGTTAATTTTTATAGTTTGTGTGTTAAGCTTACTTACTAGCCAAATATACTCGTAAACAAAACTGAAACATACGGAAATTATAAGGTAGTAACAGTAGTTTGTTTGTAATTAAGTATAAAGCTACACAATGGGTTATCTGTGCTGTGCCCACCACGGGGATTGAAACCCAGTTTTTATCGTTTTAAGTCCAAAGACATACCACTGATAGTAGTATACATTTCTGGGACAACTTATGACCTTTAAGATTATTGGATTCTTCAGACAAACAAAAATTTTTAAAAATAATATCTCAAAATTATAAACAATCTTTGCGCATGCGTAATATCGTAGTTGAATGTTATAAAGACAGACTACTATATTAGGTTCAAAATAATGAGAAAACGAGGTATTCTAGGTATATATCATATTTTTCATTTCTTTTAAATTATATTCTTCCTAACTAAACAAAAAACTCTTGGATAACCCCATTTTCATGTTAAGCATGTGTATGTATGTCTGTCTGAATGTTACATACCTGTTTCATGCTAAAGATTTGTATTTTGTCTGACTATGGGGTAACCGTTTCATGCTAAAGGTGTACATATGTCTGACTGAATATTGGATAACTTTTCATGCTAAGAGTATGTATGTATGTCTGACTAAGTGTTAGATAACTGTTTTTATGCTAAGGGTGTGTATGCATGTCTGACTAAATGTTAGATAACTCTTTCCATATCAATGATGTGGATGTATGTCTGACTAAATGTTAGATAACTCTTTCCATACCAATGATGTGTATGTATATTTAACTATATGTGCCTCATTAATAAAACAAAAATCCTAAAATCACAAGCAGGGAAAATAAAAAACTCAAATGATTTAATCTTGATTGTAAAAAAGAAATGAAACTTGTTATAACTTGTATAAAAAAATACAAGTCATTAAGGCACAAAAAAACATCACTTACAACACCGTTAAGAACTGTGCCTTGAAAGAAATTACATTCTTCGAAACAAGGTATAGGTAAAAAAAAAACAAAATTGTTGTGTATTTAATTTTTTGTATCTTATTCAGCTGGATGTCTTAAATAATACACATAACAAGTATATACACTGAAAAGAATGAATACTATAAATCATACAATATTCCACTCCTCAAAATATTTTAATTTTCTCAGGTA